TCTATACAAAGCTAGAATACCAAAAGAAAAACCTACTTATGTATATTTTTTTATAGTGAACAAGCAACACCTCTTGATTTTAATGGATCCCCAGTAAAAAACAGGCTGTTTAGAAACAACAGTTGACAGTTTATATGCATTATAAGTTGAAGAAAAAAGCTTTGACCAGGCACTGGCACAATAAACAAACTCTTTTCCCACTGATTCCCAGTTAATTAAATTCTTTGTCAGTATTCTGTTCAATTGGATCTGTTGGTGTACAATTGCAACGAACCCGACCTCAGAGAAAATCCAAACGAAGGTGTTTGAATTATTTGTTAATATAAACATTATTGCATGGACATATTATAAAAAATCTACCAAAAATGGAACAGATTTTTTTTTTATATTTACCACTGAAACTAGAACTAAAAATAGGGATGCACTTTGTTTTTGTTTAGTTTTTTAGTTTCCTCTCAGTTGTATTCCAAAACTTTAATTTGGAAATCTGCAGATAAGGTCATATAAAGAAGAAATCACACAGTAAATCCATCCTGAAAACAAATCTGCATCTGTAAGGGTTCCAATTAGGGAAAATGGACAAACGTTAAGTCGGCTGAGCCATATCAAAGAGAGAGCGTTACTATGGCGATTAGCAATCAGTCAAGAGCCACGTGCTTGTTATACCCAGGTTTTGTGTTTTTGTGCAAGAAAATCTAATTTGCCTAACACAGTAGATGCTTTAAGCTGTTTAAATTAAACTATAAGTATAAAAAAATTGCAAAAACCAAAAACTTTGTCTGCAGATCTGACATAAATAAGTAATTTAAAGTCCCACATGGCTTCATCTTCACACTAAGAAATACAGACGTTTGTTAGAGTGTGTGGTTTACACAGGATTAGGAGCTTCTGAGGTGTTTGGATCGTGGCTCTGTGTGTTTCCAGTAACGTGTGCGATTGAGCGATTACAAGAGGCAGCTCAGACTTAATCCTCCTTCCAGCTGAAGTTGGATCAGAGCACTAATGCTCCATTTGGCTCTGTTTTTTGCTTGATTTATAGGGAGATGAACTTTTAATCCAGCAACATTATAAACAATTACTTTTAAAGCAGTCTGTAAAGACAAATTTAACTTGAGAGTTTGAGTGCAGAGAAAAGGTTTCTGCTTCGGTGGAGATTTCTTCTTTTTGTTATGGTGTTCTCATTGGTTGCAGATCTACCCACACTTTCAAAGGGAGGACATTATCCATGTGAACGCGAAAAAGCATGAAAAAGTTTCATACCAGCCCAGTAATAATAGTTGTGCCACCTTGTGGGAACTAATAATTCATTTTTTTCATTTGGATGACTCTTTCCCCACACCTCTGTTAAATTTAGAGTTTAATTTCTTCAGACGGTTGTTGAATATTAACTCGTTTTATCATCACTTCACAGCATCTTAAGAATTTTAAGTGCAGACAGACCAAAACCAAACATTTAAACTGCTTCATTTACACTATTTTCAGACTTCTCCAGGATTAGAAAACAGGTTGCCCTTGGTGTTCCTCCTGAAATTATCCTTTAAAAATAATGTTAAATAAAAGCTAATACTTTTATTTCACAAGGTTTGACAGTTAGTTTCCCACCAGTTCATATGATGTGGATGATCATGAGGTTATCAACTTCTAATATGACTTTTTCTGATGATCTAAAAGTGTGGCACAAAAAAGAACAAATACTTATTCACAGCCCTCTCTGTCCACAGAGGTGGGTAATCCAAGTCCTTCATCCTGTTCACAAAACCAGGTGATCAGTTCCTAGTCTGTGTTGTAAAGCTGGATGGTTGGAACTAATCTCCATTAGTATTTGTGCGATCAAACACGAGGGTTTAAAATCATGTACTCATAAATAAAACCAATCAAAATCTTTCACCAGTCAAACACACACAAGCAAAACTTAAAACGTGTTTATGTCAGATTCTATATTTGTGTTTATATACAGCTGTGCTTGAAGTTTACAAACCCTGAAAATGATAAATTCAAACTAATCATTCAAATGACACAAAACTGAAAAAGTAGCAATAAATAAAAGTTTACTAAATGAAAGTTTTAGAAAAGGAAATACTGACTTAAAATTTTTTTCTCTCCCGTTTTATCGGGACCGGGTTACGGGGGGAGCAGTCTCTGTAGAGACTCCCAAACTTCCCACTCTTCAGACGCCTGCTTCAGCTCTGCTGGGGGAAACCTAAGGTGCTCCATGGCCAGTCGAGAGACATACTCCATGGTGTCTTGGGTCGTCCCCTGGAGCTCCACTCAGTGGAACGTGCATGGGACACCTCCTGATGGAGGCGCCTTAAAAAGCTGTCTGAGCCACCTTAGCTGACTCTTCTCGATGTGGAGGAGTAACGCTATACTCTGAGTCTCTCCTGAATGATCGAACTCCTCACCCTATCTCTAAGAGCCCATCCTCCCTACAGATCAAGCTCATTTCAGCCGCTAGCATCTGGGATCTGGTTCTTTTAGTCATGATCCAGGTTTCAGGACCATAGGTGAGGGTTGGAACGTAGACCGACAGTTATATTGACAGTTTTGCCTTTTTGCTCAGCTCTCTCTTCACCATAACAGACAGCTGCAGCGTTCACATTATAGCAGCATCTGCACTGATCAATCTATTGTTCTCACACTACATAATTCCCTCATTTGTAGAAAGGACCACAAGATAGATGACTCCTCCACTTGAGGCAGGAACTCTCCTCCATCCTGAATGGGGAGAAGCAACCTTTTTTCTGGTTGGAGGAGCTGATTATCATCCAGCCGCTTCACACTCTGCTGTGAACCGACCCAGTGCATGCTGTAGTTCTTGGCAGCAGGGAGCCAGCAGAGCCATATAATCTGCAAAGTCTGCCAGTCCCCAAATCAGATCCCCTCCAGCCTTTAGCTGTACCTAGAAATCCTGTCCATAAAGGTTACGAACAGGAACGATGACAGGGCAGCCCTGAAGAAAAACGGTCCCAGACAAATTAAAGTGTTTTGCTTATGAACAGTGACCCAACATGCCTGTCAATAAGTAACAAAGTCTTACTGAAAATTTTATATATTCAAAATCGTTATCATGAGTTCCATTTTAATTTTTTTTTTAACCAATTACTATTTATTTTACAGCAAACTTTTTTTTTCTTTAATGTAAAGGTATGTAAACTTTCAAGCACAAATGTATATGTTTAATTGTGTTTCTTTCTCTAGCTCCATCCTTTATTCTTTTTAAGTATTAAATACTAATAAAAATTATTTATGTTTTTTTCCTAGCCTTTTGAAGTGAACGACCTCCTGCAGGGACTGAACTTTTCCAAAGTACTGAACTCCTTAGTCGCTCTTAACAAAGCTACTGAAGGTAGGATTGAGGTGTTCAGGGCCAAAATGGGCACATATCTCTGCAACCCCTGTCTGAGTTTGTTGTTTCCATGCAGATCTGGGCGCCTCTGGAGACGGTGTGTGCGCGCCGCACTCCTCAAGTTTAAGAATCAAATCGTTTGACTCTCTGAACACTCAAAGTCGCTCGTCTAAGCTGCAGCAGCCTCAGTACCGCAGCCTGGTGAGTCACAGTACCAGTGTCTACATCACAGCTTCATCTTTTACAATAACAGAAGCGTCATGTCTTCATGTTTGCTCCTCCGTAGGACATGTCAGATGGCAGCGTGTGTGGCCAGTTGCTGGTCAAAGCGCGTTTTTGCTTCCAGGCGACCAATGAGGATGAACTCTCCTTCTCCAAGGGTGACATCATCTGTGTGACCAGGCAGGAGGAGGGGGGCTGGTGGGAAGGCTCACTGAAAGGCAAGACTGGGTGGTTCCCCAGTAACTATGTTCGGGAGCTGAGAGGAAGCGGTGGGTGCAACTTCTGTCAGGATTCTCTGTGTTTCAGTGGAGTGTCATCTTTAACTTCCACAGATGTGTCACACCTATTTAAAGTGTTAATATTGGTTGGTTATAAATGAAAATGCAGTGAAATTAACATAAAAATTAAAAACTCAACAATTTTTAGCTGTATGCACATATTTTTTTTTTTACCAAACTTTACAAACAGTTTTATTCCTTAAGCAGTAATAAAAGCAAAAGGCAAGTTGGCATCTTGCAATGATGTTTCTACTTATAATTACTTCATTAACTCTTTTGTTTTTTATATTACATAAATGGTGAAATTATCCTGTAAAGATACTAAAGTTGTTATACTTGAAAAACTATCAAGAAATATGTGAACATTTCTTAAATTAATTGTATTTAACCTTAATTTGAGTAGGTAAATTAAATGATCTGCCAATGCAATCAGTATTTTTTCTTTTAGAATAAGATAATTGTCCTGTTCCATTGGCAAAGTGTCTCACTTTCCTCCTCAATTCAGGAACAAAAGCACTTATTTTAAGAAAAAAATCACTTATTTAGATTTCAGTTTTTTCCACTGTATATTTATTCACATTTTCTAACTTTGTAACTATTAAATAAATAGTTTCCTTTGTCAGAAATATTCTTCATAACTTTGATTGGGCATAAAGAAAGTGTGAGAACTGAGCTTGTTAGTGATTCTGTTCAACCTTCTGCAGTCATTGTCAAACGTCTTGGTTTGCTGTGTTGCTTCTGGATAAGGGGAGACGGGAAGCTCCACATGGACACAAAGAAAGGAAGTTCCTGAGTTGCTGCTTAAAAAGGAACTTCCTGACTTCCATCTCAGCAGAAACAACAACTACAATAACAGCAGGCGCAGGATACATATCTGTTGAAGCTCTTAAAATTAGTTTGAGCTTTTTTTTTCTCTTATTGTATTGGAGATACTCATTGTTTAGAAAGTACATCCATCTTTATATGGTTTTATTCAACATTTAGCTGGAATAAACATTTAAAAATGTCTGCAAGACAGCATGCTAGCTGTAAAACACTAAATAAACCTGAAAGATCATGACATCATGGAATCAGCTACTTTTAACATTATATCATCTACAGAGACAAGTGCTGTGTGGAAATAATGGGGCTTTGACTCCAGCTTGAGAGTTTAAATGTACAGGTTCAGCTCACTCTCTTAAAAGTTATGGCAGCAATTCACTTAAATATAAAGATTTATTACAAACAGAAGGATTATTATTGTTTTTATTTTTGTTTTTATTTTTGTTTGTTTTAATTCTCGTTTTAACCAGTATAGGAAAATGAAACTTATTAATTCTAATATAATTTTTTGAATTTTCTTTTCCCAAAGTTACTTTTGCACATGGAGCTTTATTGTTTTAAAGATCATTACAACACTTGTACCAATATCCACCTTCCGATGCTGCGGGTCCCTTAGCTGTATAAGACTATTTTATCATTTATTTACCTGATTCTGACCCTGGTTTGGTTCTAGGCTGATTATCTGAACTGAAGGATAAAGCGGCACAGCAGCTAGGCATCCTGACGAGAGTTAATATCCTCAAATTTCTTTTTTTATTGCACCTCAGTTCCACTCAGCTATACTTGGAAGTAGTGATGTTTTCATTTTGTGGACTGCGGAAAGACCAGATTTCCCTGTCTATTGTTCAGTTATTAGGTTTTATCATATGAAACAGAATCCCACATGAACTAAAATAAACAACAGATGAAATGATGCTTAAAATATTCATAAGTTTGGCAACTCTACCTTAAAGTGCTTTACATTCTATCCAGAATGCGTAGGAAACAAGGCAGGTATCGTTTTAAGATGTAAAATAAGAGGAAGAAATGAAAAGGAACGCTCTCCCTGCAGGAGGTGTGCTATGAATTAAGAGGAGGGAAGCTAGCTAGCACAACACCAGTGCAGCCCAGAAGACGCTCTCATTCTGACTCCAGTTGTCATTAAACATGTCAGGCGTGCGCTGTCGTTTACATAATATAATCCCATCGCCAGTGTTGCAGGTCGCCGGCTCGAACTTTCAAATGCTGCCGCTCAAACCGATAGTTGCTCACTTTTCCTGTCGAGTTTTCTTCACTGATATTAGGCAGCTTGTTTTTTGAGTCTGTGGACTGGGCTTGGAAACTAGGATTTAGGAATAGAATAGATTTAGGAATAGAATTGAACTATCCTGGGTTAAAGGTTAGAACCGGCTCCAACCGATTATCGATTTTTGATGTCCAACCCTGCAGCTAATTAGACCTCCAGCTGTTGATTATTTTAGTCATTGATTAAAACCATACTATGTAAAGTTTGACCAAGTATTAGCTTATTCAGAGTTGTATTAAATGATCTTTCAGATCAATATTTAGCACTTGGGGCATATCGTTGCTCAGTGCTGGCTGCTGTTTTAAGGTTCTGATCTACTGCTGACTTGGTTTATTGGTTTATTGCCTCAGCTCGCAGTTTTACAGCATTCTAAGCTCCCCATAAACACCAGAGCAAAGTAAGCTAATAGTTAATAAGCACCAAAATAGAGACGAAACTTACCTGATCACACTTACCTTTGGTTCTGTCCTTCATGACTTCTCTAACTGCTGGTCCAAATTGCTCTGCTGTCAGAGTCCAAAACACTGAGGTAGACTCTGTTTGAATTTGCAACCATGAAAGTTTAGTTTTTGTTCATCCAGGGTGCTAATTTTTACATTTGTCTTTCAACAAAGAGTTCTTTCAGTGTTGTACCAAGCAAAGATAGAGTTAATAAAATAAAAGAAAATTGAGGGAAAAAAAAAATCACTATTCCTGGTAGTAATTTCAACAGGGCATTTATTGTTAAATAATTAAAAATTAAAACAAAAAAAAATGGAAATGCTAGATTTATAAGAAACCATTTTAGAAGGGAGTTAGAAAACAATTTATTATGATTATGTATTAATGCTTTACAGTTGTACTGCCCTGTAACATTGCTTTATTAATCCATTAGAGCTTGCTAGATTGGTACGGAGCCCCTCTGATGACATGGTCAAAAATAATTTTTAATTGTGGCCACAAAGTAGTATTTCGTGCGCACGAAATACTACTTCGTGGCCACGCAATAAGTTTAACGTGCGCACGAAATACTTATTAATAATATTAATTTCCTTCCTGGACAACTGGGTAAGCAAATCGAGCGCGCCTTCTCTAAGGTCTAAGGCGCGCTCGATTTGCTTACCCAGTTTTTTGTAGATTGGTGCTTTTTAATGACTTTTTTTCTAAATTACAACATTTTCATCCAGGTGAGCATTCCCCAGATCTTCCTAAAAGGTTTTAATCCCTCTCACCTTCCTCATTCCTCACCCGTTTTCATGTCTGCGTTTAGCATATGTTATGTTTTACAGTCTCTACATGATTACTAATTTAGTTTTGTATTATTTAAATAATCAATGAATCAAATTATTAGCTTCAAATCTACTGCTAGAGAATTTAGTTTAAAGATTGCTGAATTAGCTCCTCTTCACAATTTTCTCTGTCTTTCTTGTTTCTTGTGATGGGTTTTATTTTTACCACACTTTTGTCTTCCACTCAACTCTGCATTGTTTCACTTGGTTACCGGACATGGGGATCAATTTTTTTTTGTTGTTGTTCTTTTTGCAATGAATATTACATATACTTTTGTCATACTTAGATATTCTGGGAAAATAAGTTTTGGAGATTTCATTAACCCCTTATGATCAGCAGCAATACACTCTTTAAATGTATCACACTATGTCTAATTAGTGTATATATATATATATATATATATATATATATATTAGGAGTTTCTCTAATTTAATGAAATGACTGAAAAGAAAAACTTTTCATTTAATGTATTATATATGAGGATCCATCTATTTAGCCTTAAACGCATCACATCTTCTGTTTCAATTACAAAAACTAAGACCTGCATTTTTTTGTATTTTCAGACAAAACAGACAAGCAAAAGTGTGGGACTCTAAAAAGTCCACCAAAAGGTTTTGACACCACCATCATCTCCAAGACCTACTATAATGTGGTGAGTATTTTTATGTTGCTATTGTTGGCTCCTTATGTTTTTTTAAGTCAAACATCTAGTGTGAAATCTGTTGAAAGCCTCAAACAGGGACATTTAAGAACTGGTTTGAACATTAAATCTAAAAGCATTACATTTTTTCATTTAATGTTAAAAAACTGTTTGTTTTTTGATCGGTCTTTGGACTTTAGGCAAGCTAAAGGGTGATTCTCCTATTGTGGATTGTCACAATCAATTATTTTTAATTTACACTTTTAATTACTGATCCTATAAGCATGTCTGTGTGTGCGTATAAGCATGGCATGATTCGTGGAGTCCACATGGCATCGTCAGCTTTGTGTGACAGAGTGCGGCCACTCTAATGTAGGTTATTCCTTCCATCCCAGTGGTTTCTGGGGCAGCCTTGCCTCGGGGTGGGCTCTTTCTGGTGCGAGAGTGTTTTTAATAATGTAGCAAGATGTTGCAGTCTATGCAGACCGTGCTATCTATGGTCGAGGTTCCTGAGTGTTCTTTATACACAGGCGAACAGGTCGAGCCTGAAGTGAAAACTGTTCCTAGACGCTAATGCAACAGCAGGAAAGAAGCTTAGATGGGTAAAAAATGTCTGCTTTGGGCATTTTTATTTCATTTATTCACTTTATTTTCTCAAATTCACAATTTCCTGCCCTATTTTGTTTACCAAATATATATATCTTAATTAAAAACATATAAAATTAAGCCTGCACATTGTCCAAGTTGTTTTGATTGCAGTTTAAAGATGAGCTGCTTTAGGGGAATTTTTCTTCAGCATCACCTTCTCCTTTAACCTATGTTTTTGAGTTATAAAAGCTAATCCAACAGCTTCCAGTGAACCACTCCACTTATCTCATCTAGTCCTGTTGGTTGGTGTATAAATCGATCTGTTTACCTGACTAGTCGTAGATCACTACATTTTAATGGTAGGAGGGTTAGTTGATTCTTTAATGTCCCATGTTATTGTACATTTGAAAATAAAAGCTGCTGACAATGAGCCCACCTGGATTTTTTGCAGGGCAGCCTCTCATTAGTCCATAAAAAAGAAAAAACCAAAACAAAAACAAAACATCTGTTCAGGTGTTTTATAAAAAAGTGAGTCAGGAAATTGTCTCTATACCAAACTGAAAGATTGCTGTTTTCTACTTCAAAAACATAGATTTTAAAATGAAAAAACGTTCTATATTTATCTATATATATTTTTTAATTCAATGCAAAAAATGGATGCATAAACACCTGGATTTTATTTCAGTGTTAAAAGCTGTTTAAAGTAACAGATTATGATTAAAAATGCCTCCGGACCTTTACTGGTTGTTGATTTTCTTTATTTGGACCCCAATGGTTTTTAATTGGTTTCTCCTGCTATAGGAGATGAAAAGTATCATGACTTGACCAATGTTTTAGTGAAGGAGGCAGTGGAGATGAGCTTTTTAAATCAGAATGGAAGACTGATAAAATAATGACAAAGGATAAAGAGGGGAATGCTAAGATAATTGCGACTGGCTTTTAAAAAAGCCTTTTAAATTTAGCCATAGAAAGTCTGTTTTGTGGTCCTAACTCCAATGCAGACACCGACCAGAAGTCGCCTTATCTCTTTTGCTCTGCCACCTGCTCTGCCCAGTAGGCTCATCTGATCCCCCGCTGTCATTCTTCCACCTCCAGTAGCCTTTAAATGCTAACTAGCCTCCCCATTTTGGGCTTCTCAAATGTACCGCTGCCCTACTCCCACCTATTAGTAGCCTCTAACCCGCCTTCATCGTTTTGTTGGGACTTCATCAGATCTTTGGCTTTGCTTCTTTGTTCTCCTCTTGAGCTGCCTTATAAGGCAGATATGGCAGATAAGGTAGATCCAATCCACCCCTGTGGATCCTAGGCTCCAGCTCAGAATGCTGTCTCCCCTTCCCTCTATTGTCCTGTTGACTTGTCTCCCTGTTTTGGGGACTTTGACCAAAACCAAAATGGATCAATTGCAGGAAAAAGATACATGTCCGCTCAGATAAAAAACTCATCAATAAAAACAATCCATGCTTGACATTGGTTATTTTCATAATGACCGCCTGATAGACAGTCATGTGAAAATCTGCCAATATCTGTGCAATGCGGATCCCCCTAAAGACATTAGGAAAGGCTGATTTTGAAACACTGTTTTTGAGCTCAAATTCGCCAAGAGGTGGAGAAAGGCATTGAGCGAGATACTTCCACCCCCCCCCACCCCCCGCCCCCATTTGTGAATGTCATACACAGCTTTGACATGACAGATACAAGATGTTTCTAAAAAGAATTTTGCATAATAAAGGAGCGTTAAAGCGTTAAACCTTGCACACATTTTGTTTGCATTTTATATGAAAAATGCTTGTTTTCTCACTGGTGACTAGAAGATCGAAGGGAGGGTTTGAAATTTAATGTTTTAATGCTGCATTTTGTAGATCTTCATAAATGAGATACTAGAAAACACAGGCAATTATGAAATGTTTTTTTTTTTTAAGTCAAGGTACGTTTATTAATATTTCACAATTTACATGCTTTACATGAACTTAACAATACAATACAAGGAAAATAGAAACTGAATAAAAACAAGTAAAGGTAAAAACGTGATATTCTATTCTTTTTTGTAAAATCTCATCCCCAATAGGTGCTACAAAACATCTTGGAGGCAGAGAGTGAATATTCAAGGGAGCTGCAAAGTCTCCTGGGGACGTACCTTCGCTCCCTTCACCCCACCGACAGGTTGATGCTTCTCACACTTTCTCACTTTGATACGTGACAGAATTTTATTTTTGTGAGGTGCTTTGATACATTTGTTGTGAATCACTGCTATAAAAATAGACAGAATTGAATCATATCCCATGAGCAGGTATGCATGTCTGTTTGTCTTCTTGCTGTTTTGTGGTTATACAGACTCAGCAGCGTTGACATCAATCATATTCAGGGGAATCTGGAGGAGATCTCAACCTTTCAGCAGATGCTTGTTCAATCCTTGGATGAACAGACCAAGTCAGTCATTTTTTTTTTCTTCATTTGTTAAATTCCTTAATCCTCTCTCAGGTTCAAAACTGCTTATGATTAAAAACAAAAACGTGAGCATGTTTTTTTGTGTTTTTGATGCTGATTGTGCCTTCCTGCAGTTTTTTAAATGACATCATGCTTCCTTGTTTAAGACATGAGTGCCAGCACTTCTGCGCTGATGTAGCAAATGTAGCAACAGAGACATCTAGTGGTCAGCAGAGTTATAATTTTGATTAATCGGTTATTTTATGTTTCTGAGTTCTTTTATTAGCATTGTTTAGTTATCTTTGTGGTTTTAATTTCAATCAACCTTTTTTTTTCTGTGTAATTAAAGTAGTTAAATTGTTTTCATCCAGTTTAATATTACAAAATAATTTGTGCAGACTTCCAGAGGGCCAGCAGAGAATCGGAGGTTTCTTTCTGAGTCTGATGCCTCAGATGAAGACCATATATTTGGCTTACTGCGCCAATCACCCATTTGCAGTCAGCGTGCTCACACAGCAAAGGTGATGCCAGACGCAAACATTAAACATGTAAAAAAACTACAGACAAGTTAGAGTTAATGTGTTTGCTTATGTGTCTCTCAGTAAGGATCTTGAAGAATTTATGGAGTCAAAGGGAGCACCTAGTCCTGGTCTCTGGACACTGACAACTAGTTTAAGTAAACCCTTCATCAGAATGGAAAGATACCCAGCGCTGCTGAAAGAGCTGGAAAGACACATGGATGTAAGAATTCACAGGCTCAAAACTTAAGCAGTTAAATGTTCTTGTTTTTTGATTTTCTAATTGTTTTTCAGGAACAACACCCCGACCAAACTGACCTCAATGCTGCCATGGCAGCTTTTAAAAGCCTTGCTGTAAGAATGCCTCTTTTTCATTTCTGTTGCCACAAGTTGAACCTGTTTTACCAGTGGTACAACAATAACTTTGATCACTTTCTGCTGATTTCTTTGTAACCTGTGTTTGCTTTGTTTTTGTGCAAGGCTGAATGTGATGAGGTGAGGAAGAAAAAGGGCCTGGAGCTGGAAATTCTGACGGAGCCAATCAGAAACTGGGAGGGAGACGATATCAAAACTCTTGGCCCGGTTTTACATATGTCTCAAGTCAAAGTTCATACACAAAACTGCCAGGTACCAAACTCTGAGACTGTAGACATCGATGCTGGAGATATTGAATTGTATTTTTCAACTGTTGGAAGTGAACAATGCGTAAAAAAAAACGTTTTGGCTTTCAGGAATCTGGCGAATGCTACCTCCTCCTGTTTCCTCACACTTTGCTCATGATCTCAGTGAGCCTCAGGATGAGTGGGTTCATATACCAGGTATCACTACATTCTACAGTGGTTCATGTTTTGCTAAATACTGTAATTTTTATCATACACCATGAGATATTGAGAGCGCCCTATAAATTGACCTCCTCTGATTGTCTGTAGGGGAAGATGCCGTTATCAGGAATGCTCATCTCTAGAATCGAAGATGGAGAAAACTTGAAGAATGCTTTTGAAATATCAGGTCAGCCCCTTATTGATCTTTTTACTGAAATAATCAGAGCCCTCTATGTGATTTTTTACCAAAAAAGGTGTTAAACTCATCTAGTTTATGAAGCAATTCTGTTATCATGTTGGTTAGTTCATATAGCAAGTCCTCATGTTTGTGTTTCTGTTGTTGTGCAGGCAGCCAATGTGAGCGCACGCAGATAGCATGTAAAACTCAGCGGGATCTGCAAGACTGGTTGGACCTTCTCACCAAACACACACACACCACTTCACCTCATGTGCACAAGCCTCAGGCTGTTTATCACACAGTAAGGAGCCGTTTGCATGAAACGGTCATTGTTGATCTTCACCGACACTCGACGCTCATTCATCTCTTTTTTTCCCTCCTTCTCCATGTTGTTTCTAGCTGCCCTCGCATCCTGTCACCCCCTCCAGACACTCTAGAGGGGAGAGCGGTGGGAGCCCTTACCACACTCTGCCTCATCCTTCGTCGTATGGAACAAATCACATTATTAGCCCCATGTTTGGAAGCCTGGAGCCACCGAGCACTCCCAAACCCTGGACTCTGAGCTGTCTTCGCCCTGCACCTCCGCTAAGACCCTCTGCTGCTCTGTGCTTCAAAGAGGTACTCATCAAAAATCTGTTGACGAGTCTAAACAAACGTAAGCTAGGACTTGTATGAAGGTGTCTGTGGCTAATGGTTGAACTTGGAACCAGGCAATAATTCAATATCAATATGTACAGACTTGCGTTCTCGTCAAGTCTGGTCTTGGCAAGAACACAGGAAAGTGTGGACTTGGCGAGAATGGGAGCACGCAGCATAGATATGGGTCAATTGGAACAGAAGCGTACTCGTGACGTCATCACACGCTCGGCTCTTCTAGAGCTGCGTTTCACCTCCTGTTATTAATAGTCTCTAGATAATGAATTATTACTTTTTTCATTTAGTGGGGGAATAATGATGGACAGTGTCAGATAAACCCAAATAAAATAAAAATTTTGTCTAAATAAAACAAAAAAATCGCCATCAGAGCCAGCGGTCCTTCACACACGGCTATGCCAAGAGCTGCTGCAGACGGGCTGCGGTTAGTTTTGGAGCTCCGCTGGTTGCCGCGGTCTTCTCAACTTTTGAAATCTCATTTTTAATTACATTAAATCGGTAAATGGGCCATATAGTGACACTTTAAAATGTAATATTCTCGCCTCAAATTATCTTAAAACGTACTTTTATTGAACAACAGCAACAGAAAAGAGAACTTTTAACTTTCAATGGAGCGTTCAATTGAAAGCTGCTGCTGTCGCGGTGCATTCAGGGACAGCTGTCAATCTTAAGAACGGACAAGTCTGCTCTGATGCATGCTGGGTAAAGAGGGCGGAGCGAGAACAACATCCGGGGATTTGGTGCGTTCTCGGTCTAGCGTAATAGTGGTGATATGACATTTGAACACCTTTAATCTATTTTTATACACTCCAGTCTATGTTTATAGCATTTGTCAATGACGGACAATCCGGGCGCACGTGGTCCGAGCCGAACAGGAAAAGTCACACATGAAGTTTTATCCACAAACTGAACAAAACATCCCAGTTTAGGATAACCTGCATCGGGCAAAAGCAGTCCTTGCAAATGGCTCCGACTTCCACGTCTGGTGAATGAGAGAATGATTGTCGCGTGCAGACCATATAGAAAGCATGTAGAGGCTTCAGATTTCCATTGGAAAATATAAAAAAACATGTATTCTTTTCTTTCCACTTTTTAACACTTAAAATTTATTTTAACCTTCTTAACCTTCTGTACTTTAATGCACTGATTCTGTGGTTTTCTCTTTTTCATAGGATGTAAGTAAAAGTCCCAAAAACAAAAGGCCTCTGCTCCCTACGATAAGAAAACCAGAGAGGAAACCATCAGAGGAAGATTTCACTACCAGAAAAAGTAAGAACAGATCAGACACCAAGCTGCAATCAGTCCAGGGTTTGAAAAAGTAACTTTTATAAAGTTCACATATTCACTATTTTCAGAAACTGATATAATTAACACTTTGCAACTTAAACATGAAAATTGCAGTCTAATTCTATTAGGTCAAGATTTCCCCTTGGCCTTTTTTAGTTAAAGTAATTTTATGGCTTTGGTTAATTAATAAAATTAATGCATTCTTTTACTTTTGATTAATGTATTTTTTGTTTCAAGCCTGATCAACAACAACAAAAAAAAAAAAAATAAGTTGATCAATTGTTTCAGGCAGACATGCTGCTCTATTAGTTCTCCTTAGTAGGAGTTTAAAACTGATGTTTGTTTTACATTTGTTCTGCTGGATTCAAATGTTTTAAGGTATCTTCTCTCTATCCTAATTATTTTTTTGTTTCGTCTGCATCAGGCACAGCAGCTCTGGAGGAAGATGCTCAGATACTGAAGGTGATCGAAGCCTACTGTACGAGTGCAAAGACTCGTCAGACTCTTAATTCCAGTGAGTGATGTTTACATCCATCATCATAATTAAACTGTTGGCACTAATTGTCTTTTTATGCATCAAGCCTTTTTACTAACCGTTTTTCTCTCTTCTCTCTTATCCTATTTATCACCATCCATCTATTGTTTTATCCTTAATTTTCCTCGCATTGCTACGCCATGTCACCCTCATCCCTCCACTGCCTATTTTCTTACAATGTTCCTGTAAAACCCGTTTATTATTCTCAATGTCTCCTTGTGTTGTGTGTTTATTACTGTTGGAATTTATTTTACGGTTTGTCCTACACTTTTTTTTACCTTATCCATTATGATTTGATTTGCCCCCCCAACCTCCCCATTGTTGGTTGTTTTATGGCACCGTAAAGCATGGCAAGGAACTGACCTCATGCACAACCATGTGCTGGCTGAGCCCAGCTTCTCTGTGGCTGTGATCCCCAGTAACCTGCCGTCTTCTGAGCAATCAGAAGACTCTGATTATGACAGTGTCTGGACTTCTCAAAGTCACAGGACCGCCTCGTTTTCCCGTAAGATGCCGCTGTTGAGAACCTTTTATGCAGACTGAACCTTTGACTACTGTAGATAAAGTGACCTTTCCCCCCTTAAACATTGGCTTGTATTTTATTTATTTTTTTAGTTCAGTTATTCTTTTTTAGATTCTGATATTATCTGATACATTTTTTTTCTTAGAAACAACAAACTTTTTTGTGCAGTAATAACTTTTAAATTACAATTTTAGGCTCCAGCAGGAAAGATGTTCACATGTTGTTCCCAGAAGAGGAGAAGATTATCGTTGAAGAAACAAGAAGCAATGGGCAAACTGTAGTGGAGGAAAGGTAATAAATCAGACTGCGGATGTAAAGGGTACATCTCAGTAGTTAGATTAATATAAGAAGAACTGATATAGATGCATTGCAGCTGAATTCACAGACTCTTCAAATGTTCACCGAAATGTAGCTGCGGCCATATTGAGTACCTGCTCTGGTCCCCGTTGTCAAAGATGTCGTCCATATGTCATGACGTCGGGTGTGACGGAAAAAATGTGACCCAAATATTTGCTGGTGAAGATTCTCATTCATCCAGGTCATAGTCGTTCCAAAAAAAGTAAAAAAAAAAAAAAAACTATCCACTGGACTTTGTTTCCAAGTTTGAAGAAATTTCACTTCCCATTCAGGACGCTTTTTAAATTTAAAATGTCAGAATTAGCGTTGAGTTTGAGGCTTTATAGAGTGGACCGAAAAGCTTCTTCTGACATTTTCAAATGAAAAGCTTCCTCGATGGGAAGCGAAACGTCTTCAAACTTGAAAACAAAGTCCAGTGCTTTGTTTTTTTTAAACGTTTTTGGAATGACTATGACTGAGAATCTTTACCAGCAAATTTTTGGGTCACATTTTTATTGTCACACCCGACGGTATATTACTTACGCTTACCAAAAGAGAATGAACGTGTTCAGAGATTGCCAGCGATCAGAAGGGCTGACTGGGTGCTGACTGCAAGTAACCGTCAGTTCAGGGTACATTTCGTTTTAGGTGAGGGTCGATATAAGTCACAAGAGGTTAGGCTGCTGTTAACTGCTGTTGACTTGATTTATTGTGCTGTAAAAAAATGTATCCAGAAAATTATGTGATTAGTAAACACTGATTAGACACCTGAAAAAATGCATTTGATATCATGATCTTTAGATTTTGCTTCTTACATTATAGTTGTGTTTAGCTGTTTACATTAAGTAAGCATAGAAATCAGCAGAACGAGACGTACCTTTGCTCTATATACCAATATCTTCCTTTTCCTCGGATGCCAAATTTTCCGGTTACTAACCCAGCTGTGAAAAATGGATAAGTATCTATGATTTTAAAAGCTTTTAGACTTTCTCTGGTGTACAAAGACAGGTTTGTATAAGATATACTTATAAGATATGAAAGGAAAAAATCTGGGGGTTGTAGAAAGGTGTTGAAAAAGTTTGCAGAGACTTCGTATGGATAACCTCCAACACAGATTTTTCTTTGTTTAAGCCCACGGGTATTCAAATGAGATTGATTGAGCAGAAGCGCCACATAGCTAACCTAAGCGTTCGATACTCAATATGGTGGCAGTGAGGTTAGAATGCATCATGACATCACTCTTCTAAAACGCATCCAATTAGATTATGGATTAAAATGTGCATTGAGTTACACCCCTATTTGCATCATACTTTGACATAGGCCAGTTGTATTGCTACTCCCACCCCCCATCTTTAAAAAGAAGTACCGGTACAAAAAAAAACAATTAGGACTAAAAAGAATATCCACAAGTTCACTGCAACTTCTCGTGGAAAACAATGCAGAGGAAAATAAAGAGTTTGACGAGGTCAGGTTGGTCTTGTGCATATTTCAACAATGAATATTGATTATAAATGGTCTAAAGGTCTGCTGTTACAGAGATAGAGGAGGATAAAATAAAACTGTATTGACAAGTTCAGGTGTAAAACAGATGCAGTATGTTGTAAGGTGCTGTTTAAAATTCAGCCCCATTATCATGCCATAAAAGTTGTGAGAATGTAAAGTTCTTGTGTTTTTTCTTCTTTATAGTTAAAGTTCCAGACTTCACCTCCTGCATATGTGAACACACTTTTTTTTGCTTTGTTTGTGTTTTAGATTTGGTGAACATAGTTCATCTCAGTCCCGACTTTGTTTGTCGAGGTGAAAGCACTGATTGTTGAAACAAAAAATATGTTGTTTTTTTGTTTTTCTCTGCAGGAGCCTGGTGGACACTGTTTATAGCCTCAGAGATGAGGTTCAGGAACTCAAACAGGTCGGTTTGATCTTTCCATCTATGTTGGACATGTTTATGCTTGTCTATTTTCAGTGAACAAATATGCTTTCACAACCAATATTTAGGGAACATAAAAAAATTAAATGGGGATTGTGTCTTACTTATGGGTTATTCGTTAAAACCCCAGTAAAAAAAAGTCACTAATTAGCCAAAACTCTATATAAGGCAGTTAAAATTCCATAATAACAAATGTTTGGTAAGTTATAAAGTGCATTATAAATTTAATTAAGTAGTCATGGTCCTTATCAAGTGAGATGGAAATAAAAAATGGCTCCTTATTGAATACGTATATTAGTTTTCTAGTAAAATCTCTCCTTCTCTCTCTCTGTACCTTTATTTATCTCTATATATAAATATATTAAAACTAATAATTCAAATGTTAATCATCCGTAAGTACACCTGTATCTCTACAAAATCAGTTTATTTATAAAAAAAATGGCTATATTGGATATATAGTGTATATAGGTGGACAAAAGACCTGCTTAATTTGTATATAGAAAGAATTCTATAAAATTTTACATTGAATTTGCAGACTTGTCTTCTGCTATTTGATTCTTTTCTCTCCATCTTTGAGGATATTTATCTCCTTCTATTTTTCAGGACAACAAGAGAATAAAGAGGACACTAGAGGAGGAGCAGCGAGCAAGAAAAGAGCTGGAGCGAATTGTGAGGAGGGTCCTGAAGAACATGAATGATCCAACCTGGGACGAGACTAATCTCTGAAACCAGTACAGATCTGAAACGGGGACCAATTTCTGAATTTTACGTCATCATATGACGAGAGACGTTAGCTGTGCCGACAGAAGCTGCCAGCAGTTTTTGCCACACTTCAGCATACGTCCGTTTCATTCAACTAACCCCTCAAACTAAGCCCTGTGCCAAATAATGGACCTAGAACTTGAAGCCATCTAAACTGAACACGAAGCTTTGAAGCCATAACAGCTGGTAGAAATTAGAACAAGACATTTTGCCCTTATTCTCTTCTTCTTAACTCTTATTAGACTGTTTTTTTTTTGTTTCTTTATCAGTGTTCCTGCCTTTCCTTTGACTGGTCGTATATAATTTCTTGTATTCAAGGAAAGTATTGTTATCTACACTTTGTGAATTAATAGGACGGTTATACATAGATTCCAACTTGGAGAAACAAACAATAACTTATTTTATTCACTCAGGATGCATTTAAAGGGTTTGATACACAACTTAAAACTTCAGTCTTTTTAAGGAATTTAAAATTCATTTTACCCTTGATTTTCTATGAACGTCTAAGGACTAAAATTATATTTAAAGGTTCAAATATATACATACACCAAAATATTGTTAAAAATCCCTGTGCAATTATACTAAGACCACAAATGCTCGATACGACATCATCTATTTTTTGAAACTATATAGACAGAAATGGAATTTATAGAGGAGGACATATGCACCAAAGGTCCCTTTACAATTCTGCCAGAGAGTTGTTTACGGCTACTAAAGTATTTTAAGCTGGACTCTCTAAGAGCTCTCTGTCAAGATTACAGCAACTCCAAATGATTTCAATCTTCCTGATTCAATTCTTGCTTTTAAAAATCATAAAGTTTCCTGCTGCATATTCAGTCCTGGGAGAAGGAGATCATGTGGTTCTATTAGGAATGTGTTTGAACTTCTGAACTGTGTATTTCAACTTTTCATGGACTATTGAAGCATTGCACCTTAAAAGAACTGACAAGCCAGCTGTAAGGTTACACCAAACGGATTATAAATCAGTAAATGATGAACCAGCATGTATAAAGACTATTTAGCTTTAAAAAAACATAAAACAAAAACCTTTTAAATTTTGGGTTTTAGTTAGGCCTGGGCAATTAATTGCATTTGTAATATAATCACAATTTAGAAAAATATAATTTTTTTTTAATTGCAGAGTGACAAATTTTTTTTATCACAATTAACAAGAGTAAAACACTAAATTTCTCCCTCCAGCCCTTTAGGTGGCAGTAAAAGTGTGTATGCACTGCACAGAAGAGTAGCAGCTACAACCTAGATTAATGCATTATAGTAGAAGTAAGGACTTGTTTTTGCAAGTTTAACAGTAAAGTCCTGCAACACTGAAATCAGGCTTTCAAGGTCATGAAAAAACTGAAACCTTGGAGTAAAACATAGACATAGTTGTGCTTAGTGCAAAGGATTATCGCAATAAAATCGCAATATTGGTTGAAAATAATTGCAATTATGATTTTTGGCAAAATTGTTCAGCCCTAGTTTTAATTGTAACCAGATTATGTTTTGGGACCAAAAAAAAGTAGAATAAATGAATTTTATATAGCAGGAACTTAGAATACTTTTTAGGATTTTAATGACCTTTACCTGAACTTATTAACTTTTAAAGCATCTAAATAAACGTTTGGGCTTTAGAATAACTCAGGATTTTAACATAACTGACATTTTTTTCCTGCTCAAAATAAACACATATTTATTATTTTATAATTCAAGCAATATTAAAAAGGTGCTTAAAATGTTATACCAACCTCCACTGCCTCTTAAGCAAACACTTTTTCATCAGTTTGCTGTTTTTCTGTCCAAGTTTTAGGTCAGTGGATTACTTCTAGCTATCAATAACTCGATAAATAGATAAAAAGACATGATTTTTACTTGGGTCACACTCTAGATAAACCACTAAATGGAACATTTTTCTCTACTTTTGTGAAAAACTGAATATTTCTCAGATGTTATTAAAGTGCTTAAGTGTTTAGAGATTTCCATAAACTGTTCCAAAGTGCAGGTTTGTCTAATATTGTCAATTTAGTATCTGAAACGTCAAATTCTGACTCACTTGTTTGAGTCAAACAATGGGATTTTGTCAATCAGAAGTTTTTCTCTGCAAAACCAAAGTTAAAGCAATACTACACTGGAAAATTTCTCTATTTATGATGTCATTATGCAATTTATTGTAGAATTTATTCAATTTTTTTTTTATTTGTATCTTTTTTTAAAACTTTTGCTTTTATTGTAAATACCTGTTTTATACTTGACCTTGGCTCGCTACATCAGATCTCTTCTAAAGAGTAGTTTCTCTTGGATTTCTACCAGTTTAACCCATGTGTGATTAGCTATATGATCAATTATGGCAGTGATTAACTCTATCTTATGTATTTATCTGTAACTGCTGTAAATGTCTCATGTGAACCTGTATTGATGATGATTGCAAAGGTTATAATAACTGTCAATCTTTATTTATTTCACCTGTCAGACCGTCAATGAAGTTCTAAATCCAAATGAAAACTTTAGTCTATGAGAATAAAAGAATATCTACAATGTTCTGAAAACTGACCAGTTTTTTGTGTAATCCCATTCAGGATGTTGCCTGTTAACAATTTCCATAATATTGCCAAACATTAATACACTCCCATTAAAGCTTTTTTTGCTAAGATAAGTAATTGTAAACTTAGTTTACTTTTCAAGTAAGGTAGATACATACTCGTGCCATAATTTTCCGTTTTTATTTATTTTTTTCGAATTTAAGCAATACAGTTTTCTCTCCTTTCACCTCTAAATTACACACAGTGTCAAATAAAATATTAGTTCAACAATAAACTGTAAAAATACACATTTTCCTTATTCTACTTCTTTTAAACGTGAAGCACATTTAAGGCGGAATTTGCTCAACAGCGCCCCTCTGTTTTTCCGTGGTCGCTAAGCTCATCTACCCTTATATGGAAAAGTGTATTGCAGCTTAACTAAACGCAGGTGAAAGCAGCGCGACTTTGATTAGAGTTCTATCAAAATAACCAAAAAAACAAGCTGGACAAAACACGGATTAACGATAAAGAAACAAACAAACACCAGTTTATTTTTTACTATGGTATGTATACTATATTAGAAAATATAAAGTCATAAAATCATAATAAAAACGACGGAGATTTTCTCGCTCATGATTTCAGCTTAATAACCAGAGAAAGCAAGATAAGGAAGGATCTTCAACAACTTCATTGGAGGAGTCAGACCGGATTGAAAAACATGTAAGTGAAATTAAGTCGCTATTTTATTTTTTTATTTTTATCTGCTGCGGATGATGCATATACAGAAGAGGATTAGGGCCACTGAAAAATAAAAAAGTTAACTGGTTTTTAAAATGTATTTCAGTATGATATGAGAAAAAGTTATATGATTAACTTTAATTCTGAGATTAAAGTCCGAATTCTAGTTAGAATTCCGAGAGCCAAGTCAGAAATCTAGTTAGAATTCTGAGAGCCAAGTCAGAAATCTAGTTAGAATTCTGAGATTCAAGTCAGAAATCTAGTTAGAATTCTGAGATTCAAGTCAGAATTCTAGTTAGAATTCTGAGAGCCAAGTCAGAAATCTAGTTAGAATTCTGAGATTAAAGTCAGAATTCTAGTTAGAATTTTCAAAGTCAAGTTAGAATTCTTAGTCAAGTCAGATTTCTAGTGATTCTGGGAGTCAATTAAGAATTCTAAAATTAAAGTCAGAATTCTATTTAGAATTCTGAGATTAAAGTCAGAATTCTAGTTAAAATTCTGAGAGTCAAGTCAGAATTCTACTCAGAATTATGAGAGTCAAGTAAGAATTCTTAGAGTCAAGTCAGAAATCTAGTGATTCTGAGAGTCAATTAAGAATTCTAAAATTAAAGTCAGAATTCTATTTTGAATTCTGAATTTAGTTTTAGCTTCTCACCTGGAATAATCTTTCTCACTAAAGAGTACTACATTTCAGATGGTTTGAATATACCCTGAAATATTTTGATCTTGATGGGAATTTATTTATTTATTTATTTATTTATTTATTTATTTATTTATTTTTTACCGTCTTAAGGTAACTGTTGTTTTCTGGACAAAACAGAACAGAATAGCAAAGCAATTGATGGGTAACCTTCACTTTTCAAATGTTTCACACCTGCTGTCCATTAAAATTCCTCCATAATTTCCAGCATTCTTTGAATATTCAATGCGAATCATCAGCCAGTTTCTTCATCTGAATGGGGTCCCTTTTATCCAGTCTTTTAATGTAGGCGTTTCAACACATCCGTTTCATAGTCACTGCTTTTGCCTGACCACTAGCATTATATTAAACATAGATGTTTTGTAGAACTCTTTTATACAATTTGTTCTTTGCCCAGGAACATATAGTTTAAAAATTTAGGACAAGGTTGGTTCCAAGAACACTTTCCAAACTTTGTTGAATTTGCTCCAGTAAGAAAGCAAGTCAGAGTAACGGATATGGTAGAAGATGTGAAAATGATCCAAATGATCTCTAGCCTGAATTATCTACTGTACACCTCCACCTTGTTGAGCTGGTGTTTTTAAAGAAGGGAATTACATTTTTTCCAGGCAAATTCCTTATATATTAATGAGGATGTGAGTTTCTAGCAATTGTAGCCAATATTTAGCCACTCTTTTGAGTGAATTTCATGATTGGCCTCATTCTCACATTTTTCCTTGATGTATAATGAGTGTTCTCCCTATAGGGTTTGTAATTTTCTGTATATTTTAGATGTTCATTTGTGAAGTGTCACTGATGAAAAATTTTTCAAAAAGCCACTCAGCACCACCCTTGAATGATTTTTCTAATCAGTGAAGGACTGGGACGTTGATATCAGTTTATCAATTTCTTGAAAGGTCATTTTGGCTAATTTTGACAGTAAAGTCTGAAAAAAAATCAAGTATTTTTCGCAGTATTGTCATTTTAATAGCTTCCACTCTTTGCATTTGTCCCATATAAGGCAATAGACTGAAGCTGGACTGGTCAGATTTTGTTTAAGTAATTAATGGGTGATAATTTACAGTGGTAATATTTTGCATATTTGTAGGAATCGTCAGTATCTAATTCTCCAACCTTGTTATTGCGTATATATTGTCTTAACACCTCTTTAATTTTTTCCTTGAGAATGCTGGAACTGACTCGCGGTAACATCTGGTTGTATATGAAGAGGGCAGTGATCTGCTCCTCTTTCTTTCCTTTAGCTTTAACAATTTTTTTTTTTTTTTGCATGTTCCCTTCTAAAAGCATCCTGTTTCTTCTTGAATCCCTCTCGCGTTTAATTTTTTAATTTCTCTTGCTTGTCTGCCTTTCCCGTCTTGGTCCACCTAACATTCTTGATCTCGCCAGCCAACTTAGGTGCTAGTTGCTGCAACTGCAGAGTTGCAGAGTTGTCTGCAGAACTGCAGAAATCTCTTACAATTTCTCCTAGGTCGCCCTCTGTTATTAGATTTACAGATACCTCTTCAATCTGCTGGATTCTGACAAATATGGGTTTCTGCTTCATCTAATTATGCATTTATGTTTGATTTTTTTATTTTGTGAAAGCTATTACCATTCTCATAGTGTTATTATCTCATTTCTTTAAATTAGTTGCTTTGTTAGCTATGCTTTTAACTTCTGTAATCAAGTGACTGGCCCGGCATTCTTTATTTTTTTGCTTTTTAAAATAACTACCTAGACAGATGACCACCCCTGGATATAGGTTAAGACACTTTAACAGGCTTTTTGGTGTATTTAGTTCCTGTGTTTCTTGAAAATAAGATTTTGTTTTAATATTTGTTGTGGAGCCATTCAGTTATGCTGTTGCCATCTTGCTTGCCCACCCAGAGGTCAACATTAAAGCTTTTATAAAAATGGTCAAATAACCTGAAAATCTGTAAATCAAATGCATTTTGTTTGTGTTTTTTAGTCACAGCAGATTAGACATGATTCCTCCTTCTGCTTAGGATATAATCTCTCTGTACCTGTTTTCACAAAAATGTGAAAGTAAAAACCAAACCTCAACAAGTATTGTCAAAATTTTTTCCCAGATTGGACATTAATCTTCACCAGTCTTCCATAAAATTTCCCTAAACCTCTCTTTTTTTCCATTTGAAAAGTGGACAGTAAAAATGACTTTAAGCCGTAAGTTGATTCAAAAGTTACCGTGGTCTGTTTGTTTTGCAAAGTCTTGATCGATAGGTTTTTGTCTAATTTGGCCACTAAATATGTGTTTGATAGTTTCCATGGTAGTTGTCTGTTATCAATGCAATCAATAACATCACATGACTGGACTGCCAGGCGATGTTGGCAGAACACCAGTGAAAAGCATTATTCTCATAACAACTGAGAAGAAAGGAGTCTTTGTGGAGTTGTCCCCACCGAATTGACAAGGCCTTTTACAGCCTTTGATGCAGACTGGCTGCCTCAAACAATGGAAGGCATATAAATCTGCAGATGTCTTCTGGAAAGCTCAAATGTCAATGCTTTTCACAACGGAACTGGAGCCTTGAAAGAGGAATAATTGATTAGTTCACCTTTTGTCTTGAGCCAAATAATCATCCAGTCAGATATGAAAGGCAAACAGCAAGATAGAAAAAGCAACTATAGCTTCAGTCAACATGTACATAAATTCATATATTTTAGTAAAAAAAAAAAAATACACTGTGATTTCTTCAATTTTTACTCATCCAGATAACAGTCAATATGACATTTGGACTATATCTTAACATTTACCTAACAGAACGGATGATCTCACCGTCTATAACTGGCTGCTAATATTCTATACATACACTATATAGTGAATATGATCAAGCTCTACACTGTGGAATTATAGGCTTATATCTCATGCCAATGAAAGAAAAGGAAGCCAAAGGTTGTCAATATTTAATTTAAATATGTCTATCTGAGACATTAGTGATTAGTAGTAAAGGTTTCAGTTTGAGAATTGGGATCTTAAAAATAACTTATCCTGTGTGCTATCTAACAAGGGGGAGAAATTGAGAGGAACTGTTGTTTGAGAATAATAGCTTGAATGTGTAGCAAACTAGCACCGTTCAGTTGGATTTAAAAGCTCTCCGTGGTGAGCCCAGTCTGCCTGTAAGCCACAGCCATGGGAATACACCACCATTGTTCAACATTTGGATAAAAGTTGTCGTTTTTGCTCCAGTTCTTGGCAACATCCCCATATATTTCCTCACAGATTTCCCCAAATAGCTGGTTCAGCGAATACAGTTAACCCCCAAATTATTCATACCATTTAGGTTTGAATTAGTTGTTTGATCTGAATGGTAAATGGCCTGCATTTATATAGTGTTTTTTTCAAGTTAGAGGACTTGACCAAAGCGTTTTAAACTACATTCCGTCATTCACCCATTCACTCACACACTGATGGTGGAAAGCTACATAGTAGCCACAGCTGCCCTGGGGCTCACTGACAGAAGCAAGAAGACACTGCTGTACACTGGTGCTACCGGGCCCTCTGACCACTATCAGTAGGCAATGCAGGTGAGGTGTCTTACCCAAGGACATAGCGA